ATTTGCTTTCGAAGAGTGCCATCTCTAGTGTACAGAAAAGTGTTTTCTACAACAAAGCGAAGATGTTGGAGAATCTGAGAAACGGAAAGGCTGTCTGGTCCTGAATCGGTTGTCCATTGGCCAGAGCAAGGCCCGCGAATGAACATGTTCAAGGCTCTGCAGCGCGAATGCATGCGGGTATATATATATACATATTATATATATTCCTTGCTGGGTTTTTGCGTCGCCCGGTTTCGCCGGGCGGACTCCCTCGGGCCCGCCCGGCCTGGCGGCGGCCCAGCCTAGGTTATTTAGTTATTTATTAATATTTCACAAAAAACAGAACCTTACGGTTCTGGCTCCTTTCCATTCTGGGGAGCATCAGTCTGGTGACTCTGGTTCCTATTCCACCGGCGAGTCAGAAGAGATTGACTATTCAAAATTGATTAGAGGAAAATGTGTGAGTTAGACAACCACAATAAAATCATCTAGAAACCTGGCTGACTAACAGAGCCGAACTGGCACCGCATGCCAGCTGATCACTACAATATTCCAATACAACCAACCAATGACATCCTGATTCCACCTACAGACAATAATATCCCTCAGACCCTCCCCCTCTGGCCGAAGGAACCCTGACCAGCATTGACTGAATCGTGTGCAACAAGAAAAGAGGAGAGTTGTCTGTATTGTTGAGACTATGGTCTCAGTTTGCCCGCCGCTGGGTCGCCGTCCTTGCTGGAGTTTCGCTGTGCCATTTTTTCCAGATCAATATATTACCTGCCACGTTGCAATCTTTCCCTGTAGGAGCCAGTCTCTCATGAAAGAACGTCTCTTGGTGGCTAGCCTTTCTGGTCTGACTTTCGTTGTTGATGGAACCTCCCTCCATCTGCACCGAATCTCAGTTTCCGTCATACTGAACAGTAGGCCCACATTCCTCCCCTTGCCACCACAGTTCTCTCGATAGTCTTGGTACACCTTTTCCCGAATCCCGATCACCCACAGAGCCAGCTTCCTGAGAAGGTGAAATCAGATTTCCTTGCCGCCTGAATATACAGTCAAACTGGGATACAGATTGTTGCTCAGAACCAAAGACCCTGATCCCATCATCAAGAAAAGATGGCAGACTCTATTGGGACAGGAGGCAGACAAACTCACTCAGATCCAGTGGAAGAAATTCAAGTCTATCAGACCAATTAAAATTAGAAGCCTTCAATGGCTAATCGCCTATGCGGCACTACCAGTAAACCAATGGCTGCACACTAGACGAAAGGGTTCAGACCCCACAGTTCCGATCAGTGCACGGTCTGCACATAAGTAGTGGTAGAGGATTAGTACACTGTCTACTACACTGTAGGGAGGCGACGGACTATTGGGCAAGAGTCTCGGCACTATGGGACTCCCTATTCCCGACCCCTTTCTCTGAACAACCCATCCAACTTCTCCTCCTGACTAACATTCCTGAGCAGTTCCAGAAGGCTGAAAGAATTTGGTTCGGAATCATGAGGAAGGTGACACTATGGATCATATGGAAGGAAAGATGCAGCAGGACGATTGAAGGCGTGGCCAATTCACGCGAGAAGGTTTGGGCCGAGACAAAAAAGATGATACAAGCTGAATTCCTCTGCAAATGGCGGAGGATCAAACAATCATGGACAGAGGATGAGGACCAACAAAAGAAGGCGAGACTGAGCTTCAGCAGAACTTGGCTGGTAAATGGCAAAGTGGCGGACCTGAGAGAAGACCGCATCTGTTGGAAAGACTGGCACGACTCAAATCCAGGGAGGGGCTACCAGCAACAAACAACGGTGGGCATGATGTCGTGGAAGGACGTCACGGAGCCCAGACTCGAGAGATCACTTTCCAGAATGCATCTGACCACTATTACAGGGAGAGGAAAACATTGCTGTTTTTTCTAGGGCTGGGCCGGCGACCGGCCGGTCGGGCTGACCCGGTCCAACCGGTTCCGGACCGGCCCAGGGGGGGTCAACCGGCAAACCGGATGGCCCAAAAAAAGGGCCAATTTTTTTTTTTTTTTTTTTTTTTTTTAGGGGGATCGGTCTGCGTTTGCCGGGGTATGTGGGGTCCCCCAAAAAAAATTTTGGGGTGGATTTTTTTTTTGGGGGGGGGGGGGGGGGGGGGGGGGGGGGGGGGGGGGGGGGGGGGGGGGGGCGAGGTCGAGAGTTGCGAGGGGGGTGTTGCGTTCAGGGCTTGCAGGCCTGCAAACAGCATCATGCAGGAAGAAGAGGCTGACACGTTGGCTATGGCTAAGGGACGAGGAGGAGAAGAAGAGGAGTGGAGGAAGAAGAAAACGAAGAGGAGGGAGGAGAAGAAGAGGAGGAGGAGGAGGAGGAAGCAGCGCACAGGGAAGATGGATGTTCGGGAGAAAAAGAAGAAAAAAAGACGGCTGATACGTTGGCTATGGCTAACGGACGAGGAGGAGAAGAAGAGGAGGAGGAGGAGAAGAGGAGGAGGAGGAGGAGGAGGAGGAAGAAGATGACGAAGAAGAGGAGTGGAGGAAGAAGCAAACGAAGAGGAGGGAGGAGAAGAAGAGGAGGAGGGGGAGGAGGAGAAGGAAGCAGCGCACAGGGAAGATGGATGTTCGGGAGAAAAAAAAAAACAAAACGGCTGATACGTTGGCTATGGCTAACGGAGGAGGAGGAGGAGGAAGAAGATGACAAAGAAGAGGAGGCGGCGTGGAGGAAGAAGAAAACGAAGAGGAGGGAGGAGAAGAAGAGGAGGAGGAGGAGGAGGAGGAGGAGGAGGAAGCAGCGCACAGGGAAGATGGATGTTCGGGAGAAAAAACAAAAAAAAAAACGGCTAATACGTCGGCCATGGCCAACGAACGAGGACGAGAAGAAGAGGAGGAGGAGAAGGAGGAGGAGGAGGAAGACGACAATGACGAAGAAGACGAAAGAAGAGGAGGAGGAGGAGGAGGAGGGAGAAGATGATGACGAAAAAGAGGGAGGAGAAGGGTAGGCGGAAGAGGGGGAGAAAGAAGACGACGAAGAGGAGGGAGGAGAAGAGGAGGAGGAGGAGGAGGAGGAGGAGGAAGAAGCAGCGCGCAAGAAAGATGGATTTCGGGGGGGGTCGGCTATGGCTAACGAACGAGGAGGAGAAGAAGAGGAGGAGGAGGAGAAGGAGGAGGAGGAGGAGGAGGAGAAGGAGGAGGAGGAGGAGGAAGAAGATGACGAAGAAGAGGAGTGGAGGAAGAAGAAAACGAAGAGGTGTGAGGAGGAGAAGAGGAGGAGGAGGAGGAAGAAGCAGCTCACAGGGAAGACGGATGTTCGGGAGAAAAAAAAAAAAAAAAAAAAAAAAATAGTACGTCGGCTATGGCTAACGGACGAGGAGGAGAAGAAGAGGAGGAGGCGGAGGAGGAGGAAGAAGACAATGACGAAGAAGAGGGAAGAAGAGGAGGAGGAGGAGGAGGGAGAAGATGATGACGAAAAAGAGGGAGGAGAAGGGTAGGAGGAAGGGGGGGAGAAAGAAGATGACGAAGAGGAGGGAGGAGAAGAAGAGGAGGAGGAGGAGGAGGAGGAGGAAGAAGAGGATGCCGAAGAAGAGGGAGGAGAAGAGTAGGAGGAAGAGGAGGAGGAGGAAGAGGAGGAGGTTGAGGAGGAGGTTGAGGAAGAAGAAGAAGAAGAAGACGACCAAACCTTCACAGCAGGGGGCGCAATGGACTCG